ACTCACTCACTCACTCACTCACTCCAATCACTCACTCACTCAGTCACTCACCCGGTCACCACTACCACCACACCATCACCAATCACTGCCATCACCTTTCTGGACCCCAATGTGCCTGCATCTCTAGACTTTCTGCTGCTACACATCTAGAGCTCACACACACACACACACACTGTTTGGGGTCTCTTGTCAAGATAAATTTTTCGAGGACTCCAGAGATGTGAATGTGCAGCTATGTTATTCGTCGCTTAGAGTCATTTTTTTGGCGGTCTCTGAACATGAACAGGAAGGGATGGAAGGATGTCCAGCCATGACCCAAGATCCTGGTCACACCATGTGCAAAGATTGTTAGGCGGTCCAAATGACTCTGCGACCTAGAAAGAAGGTCGGAAATGTCAGGTACATCAAGACCCAACACCCTTGATCTGCGAGACCCTAGCCCCTAAGGCACACCTCACCACAGAACCCAATTGTTTTGTGTTGCCATAGTTGGACTCCCCTGTTAAAGAAATGATTCAGTTCGAAGAGGCTCCTCCATTGCTTCAGCGACAGGGATACTTGTTTTTGTGAGTCATGGCATGCGGTCAATGGAATTGCGGATTGCTGAGCAGGACCACCTTAGCTCCTACAGTCGACCGATCACCACCGAACCCTACATGGTTCAAACAGATGTCGGCCGCCTCATCGGTGACTTTGAGCCGCAGCATGGCCAAGAGTTGGACACTTGGGACTCGTGGTTTACCGATGCTGTTCAGATGTCGAATTGACACCTCGCACCCGCAACTTTTGAGGGCCTTGGGGCTTTTGCTGAATTCGATTTATCAGGTATTTGGGAATCCTTCGCAATGTCCATGATGCTTTAGATTTGCAGCTGGCCTTGGATCATGCCAAAGGCTGCCTTCCTGGCCATGTGCAAGGATCGCAGATCGCAGAAAGGGGGTGATAGAAACCCAAAACTTTCAGCATGGCAGTTCAGTGCCAACATCCAATCAATGAGCTCCCCTTCGACCAAAGATCTCAAGCCCCCCTTAAGCCTTTGCCAGGAAAACTTCAGGACATTTGCAACATGGGTGGAACCGGTTTCGGCAGTCTTGATGAAGGCCGGAAGGGCAAAACAGCCCCAGAACCGAGCAGTTTTGTCCGTTTGGCTTGCATCTACAGTTCTCGTACAATCTCGTACATTGGCACTAGATTCTGAGGTGATTGTAAGGTGAGGTTTGTTTGTGACCAGGGAAAGCATTCTTGTGTGAAGGATTTTTTCAATGTGGAAAGTGCGTGCAGTGTTTCCTGAAGAGACCATGTCGGGTCTATTGTTCAGTTTGCATGTTTGCTTGATCCAGGCCATGGCAAATTCATGAAGATCTCTTCAGCGCGAGATGACCTTCTGGCAATCCTCAACAACAAGGCCAAAGATCTGAGATGTGCAAACCTCAATTTTTTGGCGAGTCTTATTCCGGACAGAGGAATGGCAGAGGACATATTAACTATTGATCGTTTCAATAGTGCGTTTTTTTTGGCAAATGATCTGCACATGACATGAAAATGACCACTAGTATCACTAGTGATATTCAATCCTTCCTGTGCGGGCTCAACTCTACCATTGCAGGACATGCTCAATCATGCTCCAGAATTGGTGTGCTTTGCCATAAATCCTTCCAGTAGTCAAGATTGCACAAGCAGGTCTTGTAGAAAATGGCCTTTGCAGCAGTCACAACACAAGAACATGCATCATATGTCATTTGTTCACGTCCAAGCACTTGTGGTCCAGCCCGTGTAGAAGGTTGGATGTTTGTCCACTCCCACAAATTCTTCCGACCTTGGATGTGCTTGGATTTGTTTGTTTTGGAATGGTGATTTGATGGAATTTGTCCCTGTCAGGGAACTGAACCAGCAGTGATCAAACAATTGCTCGTCATCGATTACACCTTGGAGACGCAACAGATGCTTGGGAAAAGAAGCGCATGCTGCGTATCATGTGTCGTGATGTTCAGTTAGAGCCAGCTTGATCCAGCGCGTTGGAGCCGAAGAATCAAGGAGCGTCTTGGTGCAGGGCCTGACAGCAGAAACACGCTTGCCACAGCTTTGCGAGCAGCTTCGGGCCTTGTTGACAGCGCTGGTTGGGCATTTGCCACAGGCGTTGGGGCCTGGCTCCAAACGTTGATGCTTTTGATGCTATCAGGTTGGAGGCCATCGCTAGTAGGTTGGAGGCCATCGCTAGCCATTGCTATTAGCAATGACGCTTTTGATGGTTTCACTCCTTCGAGTTAGAGCATGGACGGACGGTGCAGGAAGATGAATTGCAAGCGCTCTTGGCCGATTGGACCACGTTTTCCGAGAGTTGCTCCCACAAACGTTGGAACAGTCCAGAGGAGAGCGCACTCCTCCTGAAGGCTGGTCATGTTCGGGTTTCGCACGTCGTGTGATGACGCGGGATTTCATGGCACCATTATGCACCGTGCGAGCTCCTGGGTGATCTTGAGTGTATGTAGGTTGTTTGTGCAAAGCTCCAGGCACTATGTGATCGTACCAGCCGAGTTGTTGGAGAACTCAGCGACAAGTGCCAAACCTTGATGGGTCGTTGGCTAAGCTTTCTGATGATGACAAGGCGAGGTGAAAGACAAGGCTTAGGGTCCTACGGTTATTGAACATGTGTTGCATGAATCATTAAACAATATATACAAATTTCATCCAATGTCATCAATTTCAATCGAAGACAAAGCTGCAGGAAGATGTCTAGCAACTCCCACTTAGCTCAACATCAGGCTAATTCTTAGCCCGCTCGAGACTGAAATACTCCACTTAGCTGTTCAAATCTGAGTGTTCGCCCTCCATTCCGCCGATGGCTTACACAACTTGCTTCTAGTCTCCTCGCTTTCTTACAGCACAAGCCAGATAGGTGTTGTCATCATGCGGCCAGAACACATCGTTACACATTTTCACGACACGTGTTCACTCACACTCCGCCTCAACTCACAACCACTTCTCCGACTTTTGCTGTACCTTTTTGGCAATGCCTTGCTGGACATGGGAATTTTACGACCAGGACTCATGGTTCCCCCCATGCACTTTGAGGGGCAGCAAATACCTTGTAAAGAACAATCCGAAAGGAGGGGCTTTGGGCATTTGAAGCTGTGTCATCAGTTTTGGCGATTCAATAACAGAGATAGGAATACTTTCACTCTAAATAAGTACGTTCTACAATGATCAGGTTCTCAACAGTTCCATGTGAAGAGCAGCGCAAACCCTAAACACTAAAAACCCTCTATAGATCGAAAATCACCAGAGTCGATTGGTGGGGGAGCGAACCATGCATCCTAGCACGGCCTTCTATTAGACGTTTATTTTCCATCCACACTCCATTCCATGATGTGGGTCCCGTGGGTAAATTTGCATGTGGAGGAACAGTGATGCTTCCGGATGTCAATTGATCATTGTTGAGAAAAAGGAGGAAACAAAAGAAGGTGTGTGGGCCCCCCCGTTTATCAGGACCCTTGAAAAAGGTCATGGCCAGCGCCAGCGGCCAGATCAAAGAAGCCCAAACACACACCTTCTTATCCTCCTCATTTCGCCTTTTTTGTTCCTTTGTTGCTGGCTTTTTCTCAGGTCCGAAAGCCGCCTTCTTGGGTGCTGCAATAGATGCGCCGAGGAAGAACATTGACGTTTTTGTCGATGAGGCTGGACGTCTTTGTTGCTCAGCGACTCTAACAGTCCCTGAAAAAGCTCATGGAATGGGAGCCAGGGATTGATTCCCCCTGCTCATCATCATTGATTGCACGAGCTTGGCTGCAGCACTGCAGCCTTTCTGATTTGTTTGAAGCTCTCGTAACGTCGAGCTTGCTGTTTAGCGCTTGAAGAGCAGTCCGATTGAGGCTGCACTCCACTAGAGACATTTGGCTTGTTATGGCCACGTGCTCTTTGTTCTTGCTGTACACGTTCATAGATTTCTTGCAAAAGGGATACAACAACGGCAGACTGGTGTTGGAGAACAATTTTTGTTGCTTTGCTCCACCGTTTTTCAGCATTATGATGCTTTATAAACCCTAGGCCCTAGGCCCTAGTATTTTCATTTGAAATTGACATCTGAGGGTTCATGTTCTTCAGTCATTTGTGCTAACCGAATTCCACCAAAGCACTCCATGCCAGTAAACTGTTCGATTGACAGATCGCTAGATGCCGGCAGCACGCCTCGTATCCATACATATGCTTTGATTACACCCCTTTGACATGGTTTGTTTGTGTTTGTTCACTTTTCGCTCTGTACGCACTGCCTGATAAGCAAGTGGATTTGGCATGTGTGTTTGTGTTTTATGCTTGACCTTGAGCCAAGCCTTTTTTATATCATGATAGTATCTTGCACTGCACTGCACTGAGATGGCTTCAAAAACTATCTCATAATCAATAAATAAAAGAGTCGCATAGAATCGCGAGTCGATCCTGCTCAAACAGGTTCTTCGTGGGACCTCTTTGATGGTCGGGTAGCCCAGGGTGGCCAAAGGTGAAATGATTCTTTCAACGTGATCCAACTCCATGTCAGTATAAACAAACAATAATACATTCATCCATACAATTTTTTTAGCAATTCCATGGGTTTCCATGGTGAGAAAGATCCGCTTGGAGAGCCATACGCATCATGCGATATGAAGGTTTTGACATGTGTTGACTGAGGCCGTCAGCCTCATCTTGCAGCGGATGGAGCCTGTACTCCGGGACATCGCGCACTTGTCGCTGGGTCGCAGAGAATGGCATCGGCATAGCTTACAAAGATGCAAGGGGGTCTATGGAGGCCATCGCTATTAGGTCGGAGGTTGGAGTCAACTTGTGAGAATCACTGACCTTCCAAGTTTTTTCTCGTTCTGTTCTGTTCTCAATCGCTTGGATGGATCTCACTTCAGGGCACAGAGTAGAGAAAGTGCATTATGATTGATCATGTAATTCCAAGTGGGTTCGGTCTTTTGAAGTTCAAATCGTCAGCAGAGGCCCCCGTGGCAAATGATTTCTCCCATTGACAAGCCCATTAAGGCCAGGAATCATGTGTTTCATTGTACTCGATTGTACTTCATTGACCTTGTGACATAGTTGCTGACGTGAATTGATTTTGTCCAGCCAATCGCGGAAACTCTTCTAGAGGCCGGTCTTGCCGGTTTTGCGGGTCTTGCCCGTGCCAGGGTGTCTTGCAGCTGATTGACAAGATGACTGGAGTGCAGGGAGAAGTTTTCCACACACCGACGATTCTTCTCAGCGGAGCTGTGAGTGGAGAGGAGGAGGCGGAAGGGACGCTGAGTCATGGAGAATGTTCGAAGCAAGGATCCCACTCAAACTCAGACCGAAGGTCACCGAAGGTCACCGAAGGTCTGAGCTCTTGTTTTGGAAAGCTTCGGATGGCGTCAGGTGCCCGATGGCGTCCTCGGTGTTCTGGTCCGAAGTGCCAAGGACGGCGCGGAACGGATCGGCCGCGCGCGGAACCGAAGGACGCCATGACAGGAGTTCAGCTGGACGGATCCAGACTGAAACTGGTAGATGAAAGATGATGCAAAGGGTCTCGTGGTGAGTTGGACTTGTTTCGTTGGACCTAAGCCTTTGAACTTGGATATATGTGGATTTATGTGGATTTTTCTCCGTGGCATTAGTTGCACTGGGCACTTCCCACCAGGAAGCACCGGATATTTTATCCCATTGCGCCGTCCGCGCGCGGAACTTTGGAGTCTTGCTTTGCACCTGCGCCTCATCTGAACTTCAGAGATTTGCGGAACATGATCAAATCAAGTAACACATGCAATGTAAGACACACCATTGCAGTTGCCCAAGTTTGATTGTAGTTTAGCTGAGGTTTTGACCCCAAGATTTCGGAAAAGCTTGCAGCGGACTTTGCCAACAAATGGATTGAAGTCAGGCGCGCTTCCTTTCATTTCCCGGTATATCCTTTGCAAAGATGAAAAAGATAGTGGCTAGTGAATGGGTGTGTTCAGACATGTTTTGTTTTCTCTCGTCGTCCTTTCTGTTTCCTTGCTTGTAGTGTAAAACCCAGCAGATCCTCGACAATGAGGAGACTTAGACGTTGGTAACCTCATTGATTAATCTTTTGCCGGACTAATGCTGTTCCCTGAAACTGCTGGAGGTGTAAAGCAGATGGGTCTTTGGTGGTGGCCGCTTGTGAGAAGCCGGCCACGTTGGAGGCCACACAAGCGGCGGCCGAGGCTGAGCAGGCCAAGGTGGGGTGAGACATCAGAAGTCACGGATGGCAGCTTTGACAAGCCCAGACACTTGAGATGGTTATGGTTTTGTGGTGAAACTGATTGACACTGTATGGTGGTGTCTCGAAGAAGAAACTGGGGAATTGCGCTTCAGCAAGCAAGTGGGAATATATAATATATGTGAATAACATGGAATAATTTCTTTGATTGTAACTTTGCAGATGAGAATCCATGTGGGTTGAGATCCTGCTGTGGCCAGACTTCCCAGGCTGCCCAAGCTGAAGTAAAGATGAACCTCACTGATGACCTCAGCTGCTCATGGATCCTTGTCAAGCACCTAAAAGTAGGCATACCACCAAGTGGGCATTGGGACCAGCACGTCTTTGGATTTGGTCTAGTAGTTCAACCTTCGTAGCATCGAGTGAGGGAGCAGTGCCTGAACCTGAACCAAAAGTGTTTCAATTTCAATGCAACGCAACTGACCCGTTTCCCTGTGTCAGACAAAGAACGCCCACGATGAGGTGTGTCCGCCCAGATGAGATGAACAGGACAGATTTGACAGAATTGTGACTTGTTACTAGTAGCGATGCCCTTGTTTCTAGTAGCTTCTTGTTACTACTAGTAAGGCACTTGTTACTAGTAGCGTGGCACTTGTTCCTAATAGCTTGGAGTCCAGATCGTTGCTCGATCTTTGCTCTTCGCTGACCAAGTCCATTGCTGGTTTTGAAACAAAGTAAGCTAGGCAAGAGGCAGCTGGTCTTTTTCCCAAAAGTGATCCAACAGTGAAAAAAAAAGTAAAAAAACACACCAAGGCCTTGAAGCCTTGACCTGTCTTGGCTTTGGCCTCTCGTATCGTATCCTTTTCCCTATCCTTTGGAGGACATCTGTGGGTTCCAAGAGTTTGAACCTGGCGTTGCTTCGACCCAAACTCCCAGCTGAGATCTTTACGCCACAGGCACGGCCCGACGGGTTGCATCCTGTAGCGACTGGAGTTGGCAAAGTAGCTTGCGCATGCATTGTGCATGGCATGTGCTGCGTTTGCGAGTGATGACGATGGGAGGTGCAGTGTGGAATATAATTTAAGAATGAATGAAATGCTTGGCTCAGCTCAAGGCAGTTGCTTTGCCCTATGGAACGATGCAGACTCTTAGCAGCAATCCTGTTCAAAAAGCAGCGCTGCTGCCATGGCGGATGGAGTGATTCAAGTCCTCGGCGCCAAGGAAGTCGCTGACAGATGATGCCAACAAACAAGTGTTGCCTATGCTACAGAAGGTCCTGAACCGGTTACAGCCGCATACTTCCAATGAAGATGCCCCTTGGGCAAGTGGCAATGCACGGAAACATGACATTGAACAAATCGCATGAGCAAGCTTGATCCTGTTGGTTGTCCTTGCCATTTCCGACACAATTACAAATAAATAGTAACCCAGGCCTCAAAGCGTTTCAGAAGTAGAGTCTAAGTAGAGATTCATGTTCAGATGCTGTTCTGAAAAGGGTTGCAAGTGGTTGTTTCAATCAATTTTTCACCGCAAAAGCGAAGAGTTTTCTCGTTGAAGTTAGGCCGGTAGGCTTTTGAGATAAGACGAAGCTTTGGCAAGCCATTTTCCCTTCCCAATGCTCCAAGCAATGCTTTGTGAGTCGCATCAAGGCACAAGTTATCTTCGAAGAGGCTCAACAGATTATCGAGTCGATGAAGTTCCCAAAGGCACGAATCGATTTGCCTTCACATATGTTCTTGCAATGAGCAGAAGTCTGCTGTAGCAAGGGAGATCACATAAGTCACTTGTAAGTACTGGGTTTCATGCAAGACAACTATAACTATCCATAGAAGTGAGTCCAATGTACAGCCGTGCTTCGTGGTCGAATTGTTCCTGCGGGAAGGCCCAGGGACAAATTGGAAACATGTTGTGTTCTTGGTTAGGTGGGAGGACTCTTATTTGGAATCCAGTAGCTAAGTGAGCCTTTGAGCGCAGGCTTTGCCGACTTTTGTCACTTGCTGGCCGGTACAGGCACTAAAGGAGGCCATGCACAAGGCCATGGGAGAGGTGGGTGCCAAAGATGGAGAGGAGCGCCTTACCAAATTGCTGCAAGCTTGCGAATGAGTAAAGGAAAAGTGAGGACTGAGGGGACTGAGGACTAATTAAAAAGACCCAACACCTTTCTTTGTTTCCTCACAAGCAGATTTTTCTGAAAGAGAATGCTGCGTAGAGAGCTTTGGAATGCCAGAGCACGCCGATTTGTCTTCGGTCTTAGGTTCCATGAACGAGATGCTTGGACCGCCGTGAAGGGCGTTTGGTCGTCTTTATTCGCATTGCGGCCATGGGTGTCCTTAGCAAAGGCCAGCCGTTTGTCAAAGATGTGAGCGACGTGTGGAGAAAAAAGAAAGGATTTGACTCATTGTGCAGGCTGGAAGAAGTTTCCATGATCTGAATATGGCGGTACTTGTTCAGGCCTGATACATACTTGAGCGCAATGAGAGATCCAGCTTTGTATGCAACCTGCTCCGAAGCCCTTCTCAGGAGCTTGTGGAAGCCAAATATGCCTTTGTGCTCCACACGATCAATCCTTTCACTAAGGACTGCTACTGCTGACGGAAATGTGTTTATAGTGCCTGTTGTCTACAAGGATTCTTCGTACACTCTGAAGGCAAGCTTATGGCAAACTTTCAGCGGAGGACAAAGATGAACTTTATGGAGAGCTTGTGGCTGGAAGAGGGGAGACCTTGGTTCCATGTCTGAAAGAAGGTCTTAAAGTATCTCCATGAGAGGTAGTGAAGCGGGGTCAACACGAACTAGGGTGCACAGGGGGAACTCCAGAGCGCCGATGGTTCCAGTGATGTTTGCTGCAAAGTGTTCTGAGGTTGGGAATTTCCCGGGACGGGCCTTGAGCTTTGCTGTGCGCAAGGGCGGCGAGCCTCGCGTCATTTCTTTCCCCAGCAAAAGCGTGGCTTGGCAAATCATATACATGGCAGCCCAGTTGAATTGAATTTCAGATGACATCAAGACGTAAATGAATCGCTTTTGAATACATTCACCTGTGGCATTGACAGGTGGCCTTACATACCCAACATTGTCTCATTTTCCGCTCAGACAGCATCTCGGATGCGCGTGGCGCCAGTAGAATAAAACCTGGATCATCCGGAGAGTCCTGGTATATAGAGGTTTGATACTTGCTTTGCTTTGCGCACTTTGGTGGGACGAGTGTACTTCATGTTTCATGATGTGTGTACTGTGTGTACCAGTGCACGTTTAAGTCATAAGACTTCGTGAGGCAATGGGGAAGACCTTGAAGGTTTTGCTGGTGCTGGTCTCTTTGAATCGGTTTGTGCAGAAGAGGAGATGTGATTGCTAAGTCAAATGAGAGCTACTTTGATTAATTGAGGTGCCTTCCGCAAAAAGTTGAATCCTTGCAAAACTGTGCAGGTTGCAACCCTGTGGAGTTGATATTGTCCTGCAGATCTCAATGATGAACCTCATCACCTTGTGTATTGTTTTTGATCGTCATGATTCATTATGATTGGTAGCCAACTTTGACAGGACGAGGAAGGCTTCCAAAGACTGCATCGTTGCTTGATCGGAATTCGGGCACACTCAAGACCATCACACGTAGGCGGGTGCTAGACACTGTGAGGCTTGAATGTGGTCACGGATGCGACATACCGAATGCAGCTGCTGAAGCGAATTGCAGAGGCTGCTAGACATGCTTCGTTGTGGAGAAAAAGTCTGAGATTTATATTGGAGGCCATCGCTAGTAGGTTGGAGGCCATCGCTCCTAGGGTGGAGACCATCGCTACTAGGGTGGAGGCCATCGCTACTAGGGTGGAGGCCATCGCTATTAGGTTGGATGCCATCGCTAGTAGGGTGCGGCAAATCAGACTTTAGTAGGTTGGATGGGCCACAGAGAAGGCCTTCGATGGAGCGCCCCAAGATGCTTTGCTGGCAAATTATAAAGTGCGGTAGTTGGATAAAAAGGCATCAGGCAAAATTGAATGGAAGTTTGTATTGACAAGATGAAGTGTTGTGCTTTCTAAGGACATCGAAGGTTGTGTTGATGTGAGGGAACGCATTTTCATTGTGCAGAGTCGTCCTCAAGTTTGAGCCGATCTGACGGGAAGACACGCTACATGCAGGTATCCTTTTGATCTCGATATGCAATCCCTGCCTAGCTGGGGACTGCAATCTTTTAGGATCTGAGATCGCTTGTCGGAGCCTCTCTCGTCAAAAAAGAAAGTTGATGCTTTCGCGTATGCAGGACCCCTTAGGACGTTCAAATTCATGCTCATAGAAGGATGAAGAAAGGATGAAGAGGGTTTGTCACGAAGAATTGTTTGTCAGCAGGTTCTTTCGGCTTCCTTTCGGTAGAAACTGTGTTTTGCCAGATGGCGCCTGCAAGTGGTTTCAGGGCCAACGATTGGTGCAGGGCATTTGCCTGTTCATCGAAGCACCACCGGTGAGCACGTCTAGGTTATGAGTTAAGTTAAATTATACCTTATATATACAGTAATCGCTTGACCAGTATTGACTCACCTCTGAAAGTTGTATTCCTGTTCGTTGACAAGATACAGGAACGTTTAGTTCCCAACAGCCAGCTGACGCCATGGCTTCTTCCCATGATCTCGACCTGTGGAAGTTTATGATCAACGGCAATTGCTTCAGAAAACTTGTTGACACCACGGCCTCAGCCGTGCTGGTAGTTGGGCCGATGGGCGCTGGCAAGAGCACCACCATTGGGATTCAAACTGGCGCCAAGTATGAAGCTGTGAAAGAGGAGGCGAGCCGTATCAAAGTAGTAATATATATAGTATATATATATACAGTATTATATATAGTATATCAGCACACGTGAGCCCATCGAGAGGTGCAGAAGCTCTTGTGAGAACTGGAGAGAGGTCCTGGCAGCAGTGCACTCGCTAAAAAGGAGCATGGTTTCGTCATACATGGAGGATGCCCCACCAGTCAAGCCAAGCTTGCGGGCGATTGCTCGTCTCTCTTGGTCCCACTTCTGTGCTGAATCTGCAATCGACAGGGTGGGAGATGGGCACAACTTACAAACGGCAGCATTGCGTCCTCCTAATTAGTGTTATGGTAACGGTTTGAGATGGAATTGTCTTGCCGCCTCCACTAGTATGCTCACCAAATGGTATTGAACTCAACTACTTGTAACTTGTACCAAGACCATCTAAGAATCTAAGACCACTACAAACCACAACCTTGGGATGCTTCTTTACTACCCTGTACTACCATTGTTCGCTATGATCAAGCGAGAGAGTATGGAACCCCCACTCACAAATTTAGTCTTTGCGTGTCCATTTTGCCAGAAGGAATCCATCCACCGTAGAATCTTTAAGGAAAAACAAAGTGATATACCTGCACATCGACAGCCCAGACAGCCCTTCATATGTGTTTCATCGCAGGTTTGTCTCCCCCACAAAGACAGCAAGGAATGTTGCGTTGCAGTATCTTTCTTTGTGCATTGGAATCGATGTTTGTACCAGGCACGAAAATGAGAACACAACGATAACAAAAACGATCAAAAACGATACGGGGCAGCCCTCAAACACCTTCGTGTACATTCATACACTGGCCCAGGCCACATACTAGCTGTGCATATCTGCGCTAGTCTGCAATGAACTGCGCCATGACGTCATGTTTGAGAGGTCCACACAGCACTAGTGTACACTACAATCAAATCCTACAGTATAAGGCCAAACGTGGAACATTTTATTGAGACATCCTCAAGTGTTGTCTACTCTCGCAGAGATTTCAGGCACGCCTTATTGTGCTTGAGGGTGTTAGTTTTCGCATGTTTTCGCATTGCCTCTCACGGGTTGGCAAGTATGTGTGGTGAGCATGTCATCCATGTCATGGAGAGCTAGCCTGATGCTAGCCTTGCACAAGGATAGGAAAGACAAGAACCGGGAAGACTCCGACTTGTTTTCTACACATTCTCAAATTGACCCTCTTGACTTAACCTCTTTCGCAAGCTGCAGCGCTTCTGTATCCTAGACTGGGGTAACAACATGATGCCTTGATGTGTGCTTGGGTATGTGTTTTCTTTGCTTTCGGGCCACCCGTTGTATGGTAGTATGCGGGCCACTTGTAACATACTTGTACTAAACTTATGAAACTAGAGATTGACAGAGGGGCTGATGCGCCAAAGGATGGCTCTGGCTACCGCGCTTTTCACCTATGCGGTGTTGCTGAAAGTTTCGCCGTCTGACACACTGCAGGGTGCTGTTGCGAACCTCCTTTTGGTTTTGTCAGTTTACATCATGGCCTTGAAAATCTTGAGTGACGGCGTGCATGAAGCATCCATGATTGTAATGTTGCAAGACATCAAGGCGACTGCTATTTGAGCTGTTTGAGCTTATGGGGCCAAGCTGAGGGATGCCGGTCATGCAGGGAGTGACCTCGCCACAAGTATTGCAGAAAGACTTGGCAATGCTCTCAGCAACATGAAACCGTTTGTGAAGATTTGCTAATTTTCCACGTTTGGCGTATTTTGGCTTGATAGAATCATTGGGATTGGTTTGTTTGCAACAGTCATTCAGCCTTGACTCAAAAACTAAGTCCGCCATAACGATTCCAGAAGCCATGCCAGTTGTCCCTTGAGCATTTACAGCTCACTACCAACGACGCTCGGCCTTGGCATTGTGACTGACTCCTGCGCGTTAAAAGATCGACGTTTGCCTTCCCCACGCAATGTGATGTCACTGTGCAGTATGAGTGCGTTCTTTGCAGCGTGATAAATTCATCAGGTCTACCATATCTTGTACAGCACTTTCGGTTTTGAGCTCTGCCAAACACGGCAACTGCTCCAAAATCTGTTTGTCAAAATCTACCAAACATTGTTATCCCCTAACGAAAGATATCCTTGCCTTCCAACAACTTGCCAATTTCCCGGGATTCATTAATAAAACAATCTATATACATATATATGTCGGATGGGTTCCAAAAATCGCTACTGGTTGCAGAGTGCCTGGTGGGCCCGGACCGGTAGGTGCTAGGGTGCAGTTCGAATCCCGTCCCCCTGACAAGCGCCGGTGAAAGATTGCGAAGCAAATAATCCATGTAAGTTTGTGGGACAGGACCATGGAATTCCCCAACTGTCAGGTGAGGGTTGTTAGATTTTACGTCGGCCGCATCTCCTCCTCCTCGTCCTCCTCCTGCCCCTCCTCCGCCGGACCTCAACCGCGACCATCCGCGCCCAGTGTTCCCTGCCGGACCTCAACCGCGAGCTCCAGGCCCAAGTGTTCCCTGCCGGACCTCAACCACAGCACACAACCACAACCACAAACACACAACCACAGACACATCCGCAAACACACAATCACAAAGACAGAACCACAACCACAACCACAACTACAAACACACAACCACAAACACACAACCGCAAACACAACCACAAACACAACTACAAACACACAACCACAAACACACAACCACAAACACACAACCACAAACCCACAACCACAAACGCACAACCACAAACACACAACCACAAACACAACACCACAAACACAACCACACACACAACCACAAACACATCCACAAACACACAACCACAAGCACACAACCACAAACACACAACCACAGACACATCCGCAAACACACACACTCACAAAGACACAACCACAACCACAACCACAAACACACAATCACACGGACACAACCACAACCACAACTACCATCACACAATCACATCCACTATAAGTGCCACAAACACACAATCTAAAACACACAGCCACAAACACAATCACAGACACACAGCCACAAACACAACCGCAAAGACATCCACAAACACACAATCACAAACACACAGCCACAAACACACAACCACCAACACACAACCACAAACACACAATCACACAACAACAAACACACAACCACAAACACGCAATGACAAGCACACAACCACAAACACAACCACAGCCACAAACACACAACCACAAACGCAACCACAAACACACAACCACAACCACTACCACTACCACTACTACGACGACGGCTACTACTGCTAAAACCTCTACTTCCACTATTACTACTACTTCCACCACTACTACTACTACAACGACGACGACGACAACTACTACCAGGGCCCCGGACGTTTGCAAGGTTCGGGCCCCGAAGGTCCCCGAACTGCGCACTACTATTGCTACTACCACCGCAGTACTATTTCTAGTACTACTACTACTACTACTTCTTCGACTACTACTACCACTATACCACTAGTACTACTACTGCCACTACTGCTACTACTACTGCTACTACTACTGCTACTACTACTGCTACTACTTGTACCACTACTACTACTACTACTACTACTACTACTACTACTACTACTACTACGACTACGACTACTACTGCGACTGCGACTGCGACTACGACCACGACCACGACCACGACCACGACCACGACTACGACTACGACTACGACTACTACAACGACTACCACTACCACTACCATTACCACTACTATACCACTACCACTACGACTACTACTACGACGACTACTACTACTACTACTACGACGACTATACTACTACT